TCCTCCAGTTTTTGCACCAATCTCTTGTGTGGAACTGTGTCAAACGCCTTCTTGCAGTCCAAGAAAATGCAATCCACCCACCCCTCTCTCTCTTGTCTTACTGATGTCACCATGTCATAGAACTCCAGTAGGTTTGTGACACAGGATTTCCCGTCCCTGAAACCATGCTGGCTGCTGTTGATGAGATCATTCCTTTCTAGGTGTTCCACCACTCTTCTCCTGATAATCTTCTCCATGATTTTGCATACTATACATGTCAGTGACACTGGTCTGTAGTTTAATGCTTCATGTCTGTCTCCTTTTTTAAAGATTGGGACTACATTTGCTGTCTTCCATGCCTCAGGCAATCTCCCTGTTTTGATAGATGTATTGAATATTGTTGTTAGGGGTACACATAGCGCCTCTGCTCCCTCTCTCAATACCCATGGGGAGATGTTATCCGGCCCCATTGCCTTTGAGGTATCTAGCTCACTCAGAAGCCTCTTCACTTCTTCCTCGGTTGTGTGCACTGTGTATAGCACTTGGTGGTGTGCCCCACCTCTCCGTCTTTCTGGAGTTCCTTCTGTCTCCTCTGTGAACACTTCTTTGAATCTCTTGTTGAGTTCTTCACATACTTCACGGTCATTTCCTGTTGTCTCTCCTCCTTCCTTCCTTAGCCTGATTACCTGGTCCTTGACTGTTGTTTTCCTCCTGATGTGGCTGTACAACAGTTTCGGGTCAGATTTGGCTTTCGCTGCTATGTCATTTTCATATTGTCTTTGGGCCTCCCTTCTTATCTGTGCATATTCGTTTCTGGCTCTACGACTGTTCTCCTTATTCTCCTGGGTCCTTTGCCTTCTATATTTCTTCCATTCCCTAGCACACTTGGTTTTTGCCTCCCTGCACCTTTGGGTAAACCATGGGCTCATCCTGGCTTTTTCATTACTCCTGTTACCCTTGGGTACAAACCTCTCCTCAGCCTCCTTGCATTTTGTTGCTACATATTCCATCATCTCATTAACTGGCTTCCCTGCCAGTTCTCTGTCCCACTGAACCCCGTTCAGGTAGTTCCTCATTCCTGTGTATTCCCCTTTCTTGTAGTTTGGCTTCATTCGTCCTGGCCTTCCTGCTTCTCCCTCCACTTGTAGCTCTACTGTGTATTCGAAGCTTAAAACCACATGGTCACTGGCCCCAAGGGGTCTTTCATATGTGATGTCCTCGATATCTGCACTACTGAAGGTGAATACTAAGTCCAGCCTTGCTGGTTCATCCTCTCCTCTCTCTCTTGTAGTGTCCCTTACGTGTTGGTACATGAAGTTCTCCAGTACCACCTCCATCATCTTAGCCCTCCATGTATCTTGGCCCCCATGTGGGTCCAAGTTCTCCCAATCGATCTCCTTGTGGTTAAAGTCACCCATGATCAGGAGCTTTGCCCTGCATGCATGAGCTCTTCTGGCCACTCTAGCCAGTGTGTCAACCATCGCTCTATTGCTCTCGTCGTACTCTTGCCTTGGCCTCCTGCTGTTCTGTGGTGGGTTATACATCACTGCTATTACCACCTTGGGACCTCCAGAGTGAAGTGTTCCCACTATGTAATCACTTTCTTCTCCGCTATCTCCTCTCTCCAGCTCATCAAAATTCCAGCGATTTTTGATCAGCAACGCCACTCCTCCACCCCCCCTGTTCCCTCTGTCTTTCCTCAGGATTTGGTATCCCGTTGGAAAGATGGCATCTGTTATCATACCTGTAAGCTTGGTTTCTGTGAGAGCTATGATGTCCGGTGATGCTTCTTTGACTCTTTCGTGCCACTCCTCCCACTTATTTGTTATTCCATCAGCGTTTGTGTACCATACCTTCAGTTTCCTTTCCAACACTGTGGTTTGGGGGGCCTGTGAGGGTGGGAGACCTGGTGGCATACTGTGGGATTCTATAGCTCGGTGTTGGGTGGAGGCTGTGGGTATGGATTGTAGTGTGTGTTGGGATGGTGTGATAGGTTGTATGGTTCTGAGAGTAGTTGTGTGTGTGCTTGCCCTTGCTGTTCTGTCCTGCTCTGACTGACCTCTGCTGATTCCCTCCTTGTCTCTTTTCCTAGCTCCTTTCGCTTTTTTTTCCTCTCCCTCAGCTGCTGTCGTTCTGATTTTGTTCTGTCTCTGTCTAGGAACACCCTCTTGTACTCTTCCGAGTATTTCAATCGTGGTTTCTCTTGGAGGATCCTGTTCCGCACTGTTTCCGTCCTGAGAATCAGCTTGATTGGTCGTTTTCTCCCCTTCGAGTACCCCCCTATTCTCTGAAAATTTACAATCTCGTCCATCTCTTCACCTATTTCCGTGATGATTTTCTCAATCTCCTTTCTTTCTTCCTGCTTCCTTTCAGTGTGTGTCCTTTCCTCTCTCTCCTGAAGCCCATGGATAAACACTGATTTTGCCCTTTCTTCCTCCCATTGCCTCACCCTCTGTGACTCTGGATCCTGCCTGTATGTGGTCAGTTTCTCCCTTGATTTTTCCAGTGGCTCTTGATAGCCTTGTTGTGCCTCAGCATTCGACCTATCACCCTCTCCATCTGCAACCAGCTGATCTTCCCTTTCACTCCTTGGTCCTCCTTGGCAGATTGATGTGACCTTAGCATAATTCATAATTCCTTCCTTCCTGTTCAGCCTCGCAGCTTCATATGCTGTGTCTTCTCTGGTCACTGCCCCTGTAACTCGCTTCAGCCTATTTATCTCAACTTCTAGGACCCTTATCTTGGCTACTGCAGTTTCGACTTGTGCCTCCCAATTCTTTTTCTCCTTCTCCAACCTCCTTTCCAATTTCACAGAGAGCTCTTTCTCCATTTTTTCAGAAAGCTCTCCTAATTTTCTCTCCCACTCTTGTTCCATCCTTTTCCACTGCTCCTCCATCCACTCCTCCCTACCCGAACCATTCTCATCTGATCCTTGGTTCCTGCGAGTCCCCACCATTTTTTTTTTTTTTTTTTTTTTAAGAGTAGGAGAGGGGAGAGTGTGTGTGTGTGTGTGTTTGTGTGTGTGTGTGTGGGTGGGTGTGTTTGTGTGTGTGTGTGTGTGTATAAACATAATTTTGGGATCAAGGAATTCCAATTCAGATTTAAAATTTCATATTTACACCTTTTTTGTTATACTTTTTAGTAAAAAGGAAGAAGAAAATTTTAGAAATTATTAAATTTAATATTTTATTAATAAAATAAAATACATAAATACAATAAACAAAGGTAATTTCTAAACATCTAAACAATTATAAATGAATTTATTTCTTAAACTGCCATCTATCACATAACTGCACAGTTACAACACTCTACAAACATACTTTGAATAACATTTACATCTAATAGCAACACAAGTTGTATATATACATTGTACAAGAAGTTCAGAAGGCACTGTATTAAGTCTGGCGAAATCGTAATAACCCGATTACAAACAAATCAGGGAACGGGGAGGGGGGTGGGGACTGAACCATGGTAAGTGAGTTTGAAGACTCACCATGGGTTTATTCCTCACTCGTTCCCTGACTTGCAGTGTATTAAGACATAGTTCAGCCTTCACAGTAATACAACTTGATGTTTCGTACCTCCCAAAATCTGTTGGTCGTAGACCTTTGAATCCAAGGGCAGAGCGCCTTTAAGAAAGTGATAAGGGCTCCCAAAACACAAAACAATCTCTTAACTGTACTTTTCTAATGTAGAAAGTTGAAGGCGGAAGTTCTGACATACTTTGGTGAGTGTCCAGTGAAGATCACAGGACATCAGATGTCTTTCATTTACCGAGTGGATATAAAACTTGAACAAGTTGTTCCTCTAGTTTATCCTGTGTTTCCCGAGACACAATTGTGTATTTTGCAAAATAAAGTAAAAGCCTTTCAGGTGGTGCGCTGCAGGCAGGGAGTTTTGTTCCTGCTTTGTTTGTGACATTACAGCCTGTAATGACCTGTCTTTTAACTAGATTACTGTAAATTGTAGTTCTAAGATGCTTTCCAAGCTTGTGAAGTGGTACATAGCGCACTGTGTCCCACTTCTGATCTAATTCACCAAAATCTTTGGTGAAACCTCAACGTATCGAAGGAGGAGAGCAACTACAACAGTCAGTTAATAACACTATGAGGCATTTACTGTTTATTCCGGCATATAAGGCGCACTTTTATATGAGACATATAAGACGATGTTTCCATATAAGACGTAACGTTAGTAAACAACTACTGAAGCGTAACCCAGTGCCTACCGTTGACCCTGACTTTGAGCATATAAGGCGCAGGCTGATTTTTCAAGACCTTTCGTGAAAAAAGTTCGTCTTATATGCCGGAAAATACGACAACTCCCGAGTGAGCAACATGGAAGGGATGGCTTATCATTCTAACATCTGCTATTTCAGTAGAGATGTGAAGTTCAGGGCAGGTTTTAGTCTCATAATTACTAAAGATATGTACATCCCTGGTAGCAGTGTCATGAAAGACAATGACACCAGGGATCTTGAAGATACCGGTGGCCTAGGCTGGCTTGAATCACCTGAGCCTCAGGCCTAGGGCACTCTGAACAATGTTACGAGCTGCTGAATGTGAAAAGGTGAACGGTTTAACAATGCCTTGCTCATATAATCTCTCTAATTCTAAAATTCAATATTATATAAGTCTGAACAATAAAATGGTATAAAATACCTAACATTATTTAAGCCTAACTAAGATGTGAAAAGAGAGACTAAGTCTTCCTTATTCCTAATATCAGTGGTTAACTGTCCTTTCACTATAATGGCTTTCATATGACATTTTATTGAGGCAACGTTTCGCTCCCTAGAAAAGCTCCTGGGGAACGAAGCGTTACCACAATAAAATGTCACGTTAGTTGCATCTGTGTCCTTTTATCTAACATATTGTCGGTAATTTCACCATAACTTCTATAATGGCTCCCTCGTTTCCTACTCACCCTGCCATTTGTACAGCGTAAATTTGTCAAAAATGAGAAAATGGAGGTAAGTGATCCCAGAAATTTTTCGTAAACACTGCCTCTCCTTCCTGCAGGTGTCCCAGGCGCAGCCAGGCGATAGTGAGGCTCCAGTGTTGACCTACGACACACCGCTGCGCCAGGAGGCACACCAGTACCAGCAGCAACAACAGCAGCAGCAGGTGTCAGAACCATCATGGAGTGGAGGAACCACTAGTGATGGTGACCCGGCGCAACACCCTCTCCTGGGTCCACAGTTCTTCCAGTAAGTTACTACACCACCACCAAAGCAACTTATAGACTCTTGCAAGATTTTTTCTTTAACCTTGATTCGTGTATGTGTGTTTATGTGTTCTTATTTGTAGTTGCAGGGGTCGAGTCATAGCTCCTGGCTCCGCATCTTGCCGCTTGCCAGATTTACTTCCTCATAGCCTCATAGGCCCCATCGTACCTGCTCTTAAAACTATGCCTAGAGTCTTCCTTCACCTTCAAGGGAGTCACAGAGATGTCAGGAATACTTTCTGACATCCCTGTGCCTTCTTTGTATCTTCGATTCCCCACCTGTGCCCCAGGGTATCTAGTTCCCGCCTCTTAAAAAGCCTATCCCTGTTAAGCCTATCAATTCCCCTGAGAAGTTTGTATGTTGTTATCATGTCTGTCACGAATCTTCTCTCCTCCACTGTTGTTACATTCAGTTCGTTAGCCTCTCCTAATTCATAATCCTTAGTTAGAGATATTAGTGTGTAGTTCAGTGCCTTGTGTCTATGTCCCAATGTTATGTACTGGAACAACATTCACATTTTTCAATTTTCTGGCTCTTGTTCTGATAAGAGAGAGATTAGTAATAATATTAGGTAGAATTACCGACAAAATGGGAGGTAAATGGACATAGATGTTCTCCAGGAGCCATGTTAAGCCGTTACAAAACAATACAGAAACATATATTTAACAGAAAAGAGATTGGCTGTATATCTTTACTCCTGTGTTACACAATGGTTCTATTCCTCTCAGCACCCACTGAGTTATGTTATCTGGTCCCATCACTTTTTACCATCAGCCTCACTAAGTAACTTCACGACTTCTTTTGTTGTGCTGATTTTTCTTAGCACTTGTTGATCTGGTCTTAATGCAGTGTTTTCTGGTACCCCACCACTTTCTGTTTTAAAAATCTCAGAGTCTTTGCCAGTTTCTTCACATCCTGGTAATTGAGACACTCGTGCAAAAATTGGGAACCTCTATTCTGGAAATGCTTCTCCAGCCAATGGCTTCATAAAAACTTCTCAGTCATTCTCCCCATTCTTCTCCTTCAACATTATCTTTTGGTACCTCTCATATGTTTTCTTTTTCCTTCGTGACTGTGACGTAACTCGGGTCCTGTTATGGCCCATGATGCTATGTTATTTTCAAGTTGCATGTCTGCTTCTCCATTCCTCCACTTATTCTTCTTATTCGTGTCTAGTTCTCCTACCTTGACATTTGATTTGCCATTTATTCCTTATTATCTCTCTAGCTCATTTTCTTGATCTCTCTGCATCCCTGACTGAGACATGAGCACACACTCTTCTGGTTTCTTTTCTTCATTGATACCAGTTTTTAATTTGATTCTTGGCACTGTAGTTCAGGCACCTCCAATCACCTCTTGTAGTCTTGGCACTATGGTTCAGGCACCTCCAATCACCTCTTGAAGTCTTGGCACTGTGGTTCAGATACCTCCATCATCTCTTGTAGTCTTGGCATTGTGGTTCAACCTTCATCACTTCTTGCAGTCTTGGCACTGTGGTTCAGGCACCTCCGTCACCTCTTGCAGTTTTGGCACTGTGGTTCAGACACCTCCATCGCATCTTGTAGCCTTGGCACTGTGAATCAGGCACCATCAACACCTCTTATAATCTTGGCACTGTTGTTCAGACACCTCCATCATCTCTTGTAGTCTTGGCACTGTGGTTCGAACACCTCCATCACCTCTTGTAGTCTTGGCATTGTGGTTCAGACACCTCCATCATCTCTTGTAGTCTTGGCACTGTGGTTCGAACACCTCCATCACCTCTTGTAGTCATGGCACTGTGGTTCAGACACCTCCATCACCTCTTGTAGTCTTGGCATTGTGGTTCAGACACCTCCATCATCTCTTGTAGTCTTGGCACTGTGGTTCAGACACCTCCATCACTTCTTGCAGTCTTGGCACTGTGGTTCAGGCACTTCCGTCACCTCTTGCAGTCTTGGCACTGTGGTTCAGACACCTCCATCACCTCTTGTAGTCTTGGCACTGTGAATCAGGCATCATCAACACCTCTTGTAATCTTGGCACTGTTGTTCAGACACCTCCATCATCTGGAAACATAAACACATATGCAGTTTAATGTGATCCTTTATTGACAACGTTTCGCCCACACAGTGGGCTTTTTCAAGTCACACACAGATCTACCATGGGTGGAAGGTACGGGAGTATTTATAGTCAGGTTCAGAATGTTGAGGTCAGGTGAAGAATGCTGCATCTGATGATCTACCGGGTGGGATTATAGAGTTTTGGGTAGCTTGGCAGGGGTATTGGACAAGTTGTGAGTAGACCTTCTGCAGTGTTCTATGTTCTTATGTTGGATAGCGATGAAGAAGTTTCTTGGCAAGTGGTTCAGCTATGTTATAGAAGCCATTGTTCTCGTTGAAATTGTTGGTTATAGAGATAAGCGATGATTCCAGGATTCTTCGGTATTGAGTGTTGTCTTCTGTGGCGATAAGTCTTGAGTTTCTGAAGTTAATTAAATGGTTGTGTGAATTGCGATGTTGTACACAGGCATTCCTTGTATCGTCAGTCCTGCTTGCGTATTGGTGTTCTGAAATACGTGTTTGGAGGTCTCTTGATGTTTCGCCCACGTATAATTTGTTGCAGTCATTACAAGGGATTATGTATACCCCTGCAGAGGATGGAAGCTTGTCCTGTCTACTACTGGTGATGTCCTTGATGGTCGTGGTTGTGGAGGTAGTGTTACAAAAAACGCGATTCTAAAAGTTTAGAGATCTCCAGTGAATACTAGAAAGGACTGCCCTTCTAGCATCCAGCCTGTTACTGGGTTTTCGTAACAAGTAGTCAGTATCCTTGTCCAATTATCCATTAAAATTCAGTATGGTTCAATAGTGCTTTAGGATTACAACTGGTAGGCTACTAACTAGAGAAATTAAAAATTTAATAAATTTATTAAGTCTATGAGTTGTCTAGAGGTATATTATCAAATTAAATTAAATCACAGCAATCAAAATAAAATCAATCTCTCGAGTTCAATATTATTGTGCTGAAAGCACATATCACATTTATAATTCTTAAGTACCGTCAGGTACATTAACATTTAATAAGATATTACAAATATGTACAAGTAAGTGTGTGTATGCGGGTAAGTGCTCTTAAGTAGTTAGCTATGTCTCAAGACTCGAATAAGACTTAAACAAGTGACTGACAAAGTCCTCAAATAAACTAACTTCTTGACCGACTGGCAAGCCGAACAGTCTGCTTGAACAACAAAGAATGCTAAGCCCAATAGCAATGCAATATCAAGCGACTGCGACACAGAATCAGGAACTGGGAAATAATATAACGACACTAAGTAGGGACCATCTGCAGATCCTCCACAAAAATTACAAAACTCCCATAATACTGAATCTATGTTCAGCATAGGTAAAACTGTGACTGTGACAATACACAGGAACCAGTACAAAATTAGGTCAGAAGCTATAGCTAAGGACCTGAGATGTTCAGAGTGTCTAAGCGACACACAACCTCAGTACAACGTCGAAAATCACTAAGTCTATACAATGTTCTGTGAACAGAGTTCTACAGAACTAACAAGAATAATGAGACACAATCTGTCCAACCACCAAGCGAGTCTAGAGCAGACTGACTACTTCACGAGAGGTGAGGGCACCCCCCCCCTCGATCACGTGATAGCTACGTGGACAACTGCAGCTCAGAAGCCGGCAGTATAACGAGCGACAAGCGATAATTACAGTAGTTTGACAATCAAAACTAACTGAGCACATTTTATATACATCCTAACAACATAAGCTAAATAACAATACAACAGTCAAATAATAATATAAAGTCATACATTTACGATTTAGCTATTATCGCAAATATAAGCAATATAAAATTAAATGAAAAGGTAATATACATTATATATACATAATAATCATTGTAACCCATTCAGGGGTTGCAACAGGTAGATACTTGGAATGATGTATTGGAAAAGATGTTGGAAACATGTTTGGCAATGGAGTTGGTGGAGAGGACTATGTATCTCTTCTCGGCAGTGTCTTCTCTGGGCGTGTTGAAGATGTTTAATGCCCGCCGTCTGCAGTCTCTGATGAAGTGACGAGGATAGTGGAGTTTAGAAAATACTTGTTCAATTATAGTGCATGCTTCCTCAAGGAACTCATTGCTGCAGATTCTGAGTGCGCGCAGGAAGAAGCCTATAATTACCCCACGTTTAGTTTTGGTGTCGTGGTGAGAGTAGAAGTGGAGAAGATCGTTTTGGTTGGTTGGTTTTCGATAGACTTTAAAACGAAGTTCATGGTCAGTTTTGCAGAGAAGAACATCAAGGAAAGGAAGAGTGTTGTCGACTTCTTCTTCAAGTGTGAACTGGATTGAGGGCTCGACCTGGTTGAGCTTGTCTTGGAGAGCTTGAACGTTGAAGCGCCTGGAGTTATGAGGAGAATGTCGTCATCATAACGGAGCCAGGTGACAGTCGAAGGAATAATGGAGAAACGCTCGGCTTCCAGATGTTCCATGTATAAGTTCGCCAGGACGGCACTGAGTGGCGAGCCCATGGGTAGACCAAAAGTCTGTTGAAAGAGGTGATTTTCGAAAGAGAAACACGTAAAGCCGACACAAATTAACTACAGAAACTCAAGACTTATCGCTACAGAAGACAACACTCAATACCGAAGAATCCTGGAATCATCTCTTATCTCTATAACCAACAATTTCAACCAGAACAATGGCTTCTATAACCTTAGTAGACCCACTTGCCAAGAAACTTCTTCATCGCTATCCAACATAAGAACATAGAACACTGCAGAAGGTCTACTCACAACTTGTCCAATACCCCTGCCAAGCTACCCAAAACTCTATAATCCCACCCGGTAAATCATCAAATGCAGCATTCTTCACCTGACCTCAACATTCTGAACCTGACTATAAATACTCCCGTACCTTCCACCCCAGGTAGATCTGTGTGTGACTTGAAAAAGCCCACTCTGTGGGCGAAACGTTGTCAA